TGGAGTCAACAGGAGCCAGTGACCACAGACTGCTCCCTGAACTCCCCACACAGCCTACACACCAGCCTACACAACAAAGCCACACACTCATCTGCTGATGGCCTTCCTTCAAAAAGAAAACCCTGTGTGCATTTAATGTGATTAGGGGTGTTCAGTCAGCTGCTTCTCAACTGAGATCAAATAAGGAGGCTCAGATGGATGTGACAGCTGTGACCCACACATGTGAATCCAAATGCTAAAATGCTCTTTCAAAGCCATTTTTCTTGCTCATAATTCTGATAACAAATAACAACTGTGGATAATTAACATCAGCAATGAAGAGAAATGGTTGAATCTACTGACAAATAAATCAATAGGTCATGCTAAATTATCACTATCACTGTTTGGAAGAGACTAGCTGAAATATGCAGAAGCATCAAGTGAGTGGTGCAAAATTTATCATGACAAAGGGTGTTTTTTTTAAGCATTAGCTATGGATAGGCTGATTATTGGGGTCATTATTCTGTGTTTTTGCATGCTGATTTGTCACAATACAAAACTGCCTCTCTCTGTATGACTTTCTGTGATATAGGGTCCTACCCACATAATGTTCTGATTGTTTACATGCTATGGACAAAAGCCTATCACCACTGAGCACAGAGCAGAACACAGTCTGAAGCAGCTCCCGTAGTGGAGCTGTGGTTTGGACTGCATATCGCAGATATAGCTGACCTTGCAATAAATGCTGCAATTCTTTCTGCTGTACGACCACACAACCATGACAAGCATGCACAGTTTCCCAGATGCATTAATGATCAAATGCAATATTTTGCAGTGACATCCAATGAAGGCAAGGATAGCAGGCTTGCTATCAGGCCAGCTGGAGGGGTGAAAGTAAGACAATGCTGTCAAAACTGAAGAAAACCAAGACATATTGGGAATAGATAAGGAAAAAGGATCACAGTGGCGAAAGCTACACTAAAACAGCAAAAGGGCAAAGGGTTATGCTAGTGGTTAAGTTAGCAGGCAGCTTCAGACTACACTGAATATTCATCCATCAGTTTTCTACTGCTTATCCAATTTAGGGTAGCTGGAGCTTATCCCAGCTGCCACAGGGTGAGAGGAAGAGTACACCATGGACAAGTCACCAGTCTGTCGCAGGGCTAACACAGAGAGACAGGTAAACATCTGCAGTCGGTGTATCCGTATAGAAAGGCCTTGGCCAGATGGTGGATTTAAACCAAGGACCTTCTTGCTGTGAGGCAACAGTGCTAACCCCAATAGTGCATAAGGCTTAAACAGACACTAAAACACCATAACAGCTAATACTTAAAACATAAAAAAATAAGCATTAAAATAGCAGAATAAAAACATGACAACATGCTATTTTTAAAAATATATATTAAAATATTGGTTATCCTATAATTACTAATGTCTGTAATCAGTCCTGAAAAAGTTAAATCACTCGAGCCAAGGTATTAACGCTGTAATTGCTCAGAAAAGCCAGTAAGACTGGGATATAACTTTATATTAAGTTATCCAATCTCCTCCCCCAACAAAAGGGTCTTGACCTGATCTGCCCTATACCATGTGGTGGCAAAGCCACGGTTGTTTTAATTATATTCCTAATGACAAAGTAACTTTCTTGGCTACATCATGCTGTCAATTAATGAGTCCAGAATCATATTAAGCTTAAGGACCAAATCTGCTCAGTCGCTGCACTGCTTTTTCAAATCTATTTCTGAGTCTGTAATTTGGGGTGGCTCCATTACTACATTATTTATTTAGATTGTGAATCATGTGGCCCCAAGAGAAGGAACCACAAAACTATGGTCTTCAATTACAGTCCTCACAGCCAGTGGCCACGCCTTTTAACAAATCCCCTCCTCAAAAATCCTGTCCACACTCTACAGCGAAGTGAAGAAAACTAACTTCAAAAGTGTTTACATCACAATGTCCCCTAGGACCACATGGCTGCTAACAATGTTTTTACGAGTCAAAAACCTGTACACATTTTTATCCAAACACAAAACTGAAAAAAAAAAACCTAAAACTAAAAATGCTGGCTAGGTTATCGTATGTGTTCATGCTAAGAAAATCTGGCTGTAGAGGTACCATGTTGGACTGGAAAATCAACAAACACACTTGAACACGCCTTTGAGGCTAATCAGCTTAGATTGCAACATTGCATTGTTTATCGGTTTGCTGTGCTGATTTATGAACCAGTGTTTTGTGGGAACAGACACAAAAAGAAAGGCACGAAGAGGCTTCTTTAAAAACATTTGTTGAAAGCAACTGAAATGAAACTGACTGTAGCAGGAGGACAGGCGCAAAAGACAAGTGCTCAACCGATTAATCAGTTTACTATAAGAGCAGATATTATACAATTTAAGACAAGACATGGCTTCTCGGAGAGTTTTTGCTCAGTCTTCTAGGGTTTTAAAGCAAAAATATGTGCTCTTTAATTACAGATCTGACAAAACATGGCATCTCTGTACATCAGCTTAAGCTCTGGAAAACTGTAACACATATTGTTTGGATCAAGCATTTAAGCAAGAATATAATTAGAGATAAATCAATAGTAATTCTAAGTGTCTAGGCAAAAAGCACAGCTTTTAAAAGGCCATTAGTTACTGTTATATTGGGAGCCACACTTGTGCTGGGCAGCATCCTGAGCTTAATTTCATGCATGTTTGAATTTTGAAAATAATGGTGAACAGGCGAAATGCTCGCTCAGGTTTTCCAAGTGGTTTACATGCACTATATTGCCACTAGGAGCGCAGAAGAGTGTACTGAGATGATACCATATTAACTCAGTTCCAATCATACACAATATTAACAATCCACAACCTGTGGGGAAAAAAATCATGGTACGGAATAATTAATGATAAAACCACTTAAAGCATTAATAACAGTACATTTACATGACTAAAACAGAAAGGTGCCAAGAAATATCACAGTGTTGTGACATAAATCACAAAGTTTGACCTTGCATTAGTCTTATGAACATAGTCAAGTTAGAAACAAACAAATATTTGCCCTTAAAAGAGGGCAGAGACAAAATAAACACAATAGTTGGATCACGTATTTTGAGACCTTACTTGAATCACCTTGTTGCTGAATTGCGCTATATAAATAAACTTGCCTTGCCTTACTATGATTTCACTCGCTTTTCTCCGAGCTTTGTTCTTTATTTTTTGCCTCTATCGTAGAGTGAAGTGGATTTTTTTGTGTGTCACAAGTTGAGCAAACAGCTTCATCCCAACTCCTGTAGCGCAACGTTCTGTCAATTCGCCTCACTCTGTATGTAATCACACCGCATGAAAACTTCTGTTGGTATATGGTTTGAACACATCATAACAATGTGTCAACAGCTAGGGAAGTAAGGGTGGGCTTCCCTCATTACATTCAAGAACAGTGAAGCCATATGGGGGATGAAAAAAACAAGACTGGGGATGAACCCAAATGACTTGAGACCCAGAGAGGAGCTGGGTTTGTCGATTGTTGATTTTTCAATTGTAAAGAAATGAGACTCGCTTTGTGTCATGCTGTCTCTGTGCTGGACTTTCACTGGAGGCAAGTCTAAGGGAACTCTACTCGCACACAGCAAAAGGGAATCAGGTAGGGCAACGATATGAGGTTAGTCAAGGCTTTTTCAGACCCAGCTCTGCTGTGGAAATATTAATGCTAAGGAGCCAGTTTGACATCTAACCTAAAAGCAGAACAAGCAGTCTATTAAGGACCGAGTCTACTGAACACATGAGCACTACTGATAAGAGTCTAAGTGTGGTTTATTTATTATTTTGATTCTTTTTTTTCTTTTAAATGGTTTAAAAGAGAAGTGTTTTTTTTGTATAAACCTTACAGATGGCCATGAAAAGGTTAATGTAAACGCACATTTCCTGTAAAGAATAGTAATAATAATAGATCTATTGTGAACCATCCAGAATCTTAAAAAAATACCATCATGCAGTTGGTTTTTTTCCATACCGCCCAACACTATGTTACACATTACAATGAGCAATACAGTAAAAGTTGTTCTTTCGTGTATTGCTCTTGGATTCAGAAAAGAAAAGAACACTGGTGTATTTCTGGGTAGTATTTACTTAAGCATCCATCTGTGTTTGTGTCTGAGACACAGCAAAGCTCTCCAGCTGCTCTCCTCGGGACAGTGAGGGGGCTGGAAGGTGCTTCAGCTGGCATGCAGCCCAACTGCAGGTCAATACTTCTACAGACTCTGCGACTGCAGTGCATGCACTCAAATATGTCTTCATTTCCCCTGCCACCCCTTACCCCAAAGCTGAAGACTCTGCACTGACTCTCCTTCTGTCGTGTATCACATAACCTACAATCCATCTGTAACCAACCACTTGGCAAACTTTTCACAAAGGAGCCTCTTTTTTTTCCTAGCCATACGTGACACCCGGATTGTTCCATTTCTTGTCTATTTCTGTGCACCTCTAATCACTGCTTCTCCTCAGTTTGTAACCATGTGGGTGGGAGACAAACTAGCCGGTAAATCCCCCAAACGCCCTGAATGATGTTAGCCAAGTCATGATGTGACATATTGTAAGTAACCTCAGCTTGAAGGTCTGCCCATTATCACCATAACACCAATCAGTGCCGTGTCTGAGTTATGTCTCCTGGAATAAGCTGAAAATCTTAACACAGTTAGCTTGTGTGTAACAGTCGCTCCGATGTAAAGAAGTTAACTGATGTTAACGGAGTTGAATTCAAATGGGGGGAGGAGAGTGAGTTTTAGCTAACGGTCAACTGACGCAGCAGCTACTTTCCCATCAGTGTTAACGTAAAGATAACTGTCCACAGGCAACAACTAGCCTGCTTAAGCTTAGCTTAAATGCAGCAGGACGAGCCCACCACAAAACAACAAAAACTAGCCAGCCGGTTTGGGTAGTGGACTGTATCCGTGAGGACCCTCTCCGAGCAATCCTACTGCAACAACTTCTTTCAATGGCCTCAAAAGTATTATGGGAGGGATGATACAGAAACCGTTAACTCACCGGTAAGTCCGTATACAGTGAGGAGGGATATTAAAAGTCGCAGTCCGTTAGATGGCAAAGTCCTCCTGAGCGGTAATCTTTTCTCCATGATTCCTGTGTGTCTGTGCGCCTCGGCACTCCCGGATCCGTTCTCCTCGCTCCTCACTCGTCCCTGCTCTCTCTCTCTCTCTCTCTCTCTCTCTGGCTCGTGCTCCTGGGGAGCCTCTCTCCATAGCTACGGAACCGCGTGGGCTGTACCATTCTGCAAGTCAACAAAAAAAAAAAACAACACACACATGAAACTTAAGAACGCACGCGCGCTGACCCACTCGTCTCCGTGTGTATACACTTTTAGCGCAGTTCTGAAATGCTTGTCATTGAGCCGTTTGTCTTTTTGTTTGTTGGTTTTCTTGTGGGATTTTTTTTGGTACTTTATATACAGATTCGGGCAACATAAATATAGATAGCAGGGCTATCACGATCAGCACTCTAAATTATGTTTAATTGTTATTTTATTACGTTTAATTTCAGTTAGTTTCTCGTGTGGAGCCAGTTGTCGATGTTTGATTGTTAAGAAAAAAAATTTAAATTTATATATCAAATCCATTTAGTTATTTATTCTTATTTTCGCTCATTTCTTTGTCTTCTTCTTCTCATTGTTATTATTATTATTATTATTAGTAGTAGTAGTAGTAGTAGTAGTTGTTGTTGTTGTTGTTGTAGTAGTAGATTTTCTCTCATTATAATTTCATTGGTATATGTCAGGGGGCTTCAAAGCCTAGAGCAGATACTACAATGTAAGCACTGACTCTTAGTAGACAACCCAGTCTTAAGAAAAAAAAAATCTATCGTGGCTTGCTTGTATTGATTGTGTTGGGAAAACTTGCCCCAAACTGACGTTTCAGATAGCTTTGAGCTTTTTTAGATGTCACAGTATAGTTCAAGTATGCAATAGGCTAACTGCCAAACTGAAGTGACTTTATCCAGTCATAAAATAGACGACTTAGTCTAGTTTTACAGCAAAGAAAGGATGCTTTCAGAAATAAGTGATTCTTGTTTTTAATTTATTTTAAAAAGCGGCTAAAAGTAGAACTTTTTGGTATAAGCACTCTTTATCTTTTAAACAGTGTCAGTTCTTCCTGTCAAAGAAAATGAGGTTGTCTAAACATCTTGGATAACTTGCCATAGTGCTTCAGTGGATTTAGGCTGTCTTGGTATCGTCTGCCTGTTCACGCAATCCCAGACTGACTGCATGATTTGAAATCGGGTCTCCATGGGGCCATATAAACCATCTGTTGCTGTATGTTTGGGCTGTAAAATATGGGACCGATCAAAAACCTCCCGGGTGATGAAAAAAAAGTAGAAACATCTAAACTGCTTAATTATTTTCACATGAAATATTACAACCTTAGCAATAGCAGTCATTGTTGTTGTTATTGTAGGGACAGCAGGATTAGCAAGAGGGAGTCGAAAACATTTTCATACGCAAGATTGATGAAATAGTACTACATTTATTAAGAGGCACAGTTTCATAAGACTGCCTTGATACAGCTGAAAGGACTTTTGCAGTTAGAAAGGATCAAATTTTGACTATGACTAGGCTCAAAAAAGATATTGATTTCACCCCTAAGTTAATATAAACCTATCTGATAAGGATCATAAACAGTTTTATAAGAAAGAAGTACTAAAACCTCACATATAATGAAGTTTTGTTTGTTTATTTGTTTGTTTTTTTCTTCTTCTTTTTTGTGGAACGAGTGAGGAATTTCCTTGTTTTAAGGTCTCACTTGTGCAAACAGACATTAAATGTGAACAGAACTATTTATAGCACAAATAACCATTTGCTTTTTAATCATGATTATCGTCTTCAGTGCAGCAACTGAACAGGCAAAGGTTCATCAAGTTGCTTAAGAATATACTAAAGATGCTTTTAGTGGGTTCACGGGTTTTGTGGGGATTAAAAACAGCAACCTACTGGTTACCCTTCAGTCCCTCTAATGACCAAACCCAATCTATTTTACATCACATTTTCATAAGCAGGTGTTGAGGAGATTGTAAGATGATATAAGTGCTGCTTTCACTTTAGCAAGTCCAGTCAATCACTTTATGCCCCTTCCAACCTCCTTAATTACAGTAAAATACACAAAATACGCATCATGAGCCATTCTGCCTCAGTCCTTTAGCACGTGAAAAAGGAAACTGACAATAACCCCTACACACACCAGAAATGCTAACATTGCTGTACCATTAACCAAGCCTCAGTGCACCCAGTGCACACAAAGGTTTTGTTTTTTTTAAATCAGCTTATTAATGTTAACTCAGTCACAGATATGCTGAACTATCGTAAAACTGTAGTGGAAACAAGGAAGTGAATGTGAAAGTTAATATAAACCCCAGGAGATCAGTCACTGAAGGACAAAGCAATCACATGCAGGTACAGTGCTGGGGGGAAAAAAAGTGTGCACTCATCAGCGTGAATGCAGACACACTTCGACTACTCTGTCCTAAAACAAAGTGGTAATGAAACACTCTTGCATTGTTCTTTTCTTTGAGATAATTACAGCTTTTACACATTCAGGAATCCGACGCTGTGTGCAGCACTGTGTTATTATCACGCACTGAAGCTTGAGCTGATAAACTTGCTCGCTCAGCAATTTTAGGCGAACATCATATTTATTCACTGAAGATAAGCAAAAATGCTTGTTTCGATGTGCCTCCCTCGCGTTGAGCCACCAGTTTCATTCTGCAGTGATGTCTTTATAGACTCTATTAGCTCCGAGTCCTCATCAGGGCAATGTGAACTCTGCAGGGAACCTCCATCTCCTGCAGAACTGAACTCACTCCCTCTCAGTGCTATAGCTCAGCTTTACAGTGATTAAAGCATGACCCGGGATGTGTCACCACACTGTACCCCCTACCTTCATACCCTCTGGTGGTTTATTTATATCCTCAAAGAGCTATAAATCCCCAGGTGAAAGTGATGGCCTTTTCAGTAATCAATCTCCCCTCCTGGGGCACTTTGCATTGAAACGATAGAGTTAGTGCAGCAGGCAACCTCTTGTCTTTATGAGATGATAATTCACATCTTATTTTCGATTATCCAACTCTTAATGTGTTAATTATATCAACAATTTGGGCAAAAACTGCTTCAGCAAGGCTTATTCCACACCACTGGCATAAATGCATACTGCTGCATAAATACTTAAACCCCCCTCAGTAGCACTAAATAGTTTATGAGCATTTATGGCCCATGACCTTTGTAATTGTGGTTACCTCATTGAGGTTTTATGCAGCAAAAATACTTTTCACTAAGTGTTATTACATTTTCTTCCAGGCAAGCAATGCTGCACTGGCACCACCTCCCCTGTGACCAGTGGCTGCACATCCACACAGGCTGTCTGGGAAATTTGGTTTTACAGTCTGTGAAAACAGCCTTTGTTAAACACAACATTCCTTACTAGTCGCACTGGTCAGCTGGCCCTTGCACACCTCAAAACCTCCCACCCATTCCTCCCCCATTGTAGCCACACTTTCAGTCCAATCTCCTGCCAAGGTTTGACCATCTACAACGAGAAAAGGTCACCTCACTGCTGACGCTACACACTTGTGCTTGCACCTCCACACAGGTCTTTCCCATAATGAGCTCTGTATGAAATGACCTCTGTAGTACACACCGACCTTAAGAAAGTGCATGTGAAATTAAGATAGAGTACCTGTTACAGAGGACATACTATGGATAAGGCCGGTAACTGTGCACATCTTTAAAACGTTATTTAAAATTCCTCAGTATTCAATCAACTCTTAAGAGATGCATAAAAGTAACAACTGAAGAAATAAATTACAGTGTTTGGAATTCAAACTAATTAAAATTCATACAGAGTCTCACTGTACTTTATGTGCAGACACCAGTTCAGGGACAAAATGCCATATGTAAATGTAGGTATGCAGTACAATCTGGGGCTCCTGTTTAATCACAACTATTAATTCAAAACAAATCAATACCGGCTGCATGTGCTGGAGTAAAATATGAGTTGCATTTTGCATATATAAAATACATGTGGCATGATATGAAAATGTAAATGCAATGCATCCCACTGAAGCAGAGGGCAAAGATGTGTAGTGGAGTGGACTTAGATCGCCATCTGCTGGAATAAGCATAAATAAACTAAGAAAAATTTCTCTGCTTCATCACATTTTTCACTTTCCTGGGAACAAAGACATTATATCCAATTATGAATAACTCTTGTTTTCCATGTTTTAAATTTTTCCTTAAAGCATCATAATTCATACATTTTTAATGTTTTTCCAGAGGTTGAGTCTTCACTTTTTTCCTGTTCAGTGGCGGTGTGGAAAGACTGCTGCTGTGGATGAAGTGACGACAGGAAAGCAAAGGAGGGGTTTTGAAACCTGCCTAAAAGCTCTATTGAACTCAATCAGGACATGGGTAATTAGCAGTGAAGGTAAAGCTGCTGAGTGAAAACAAGAGATACAAATAACAAGCAAGCTAACGCCGTTTTTAAAAGACTTCTTCAGAGGGACATACGGGTGGGAATCTGTAGACATTTCAACTGCAACAACAAAACAAAACATGCAAGAATTATTGTAATGCGCAAAGAAGGTGCTTGACAGTCAGTCATCTGGGCAAACTTACTGTGTTTACAAAGTGTCTTCTGGTCATTTTAGAAAACAGAACATTTTCACAATGACCATAGGGGATATTTTGTTCGCATAGTTGGCACTCGTGCATCTCATTTGAAACACTAACAATTGAGTTTGGCAACAATGTAAAGTGGACACACGGTCTCCTGTCCAATTTTAGCAGAAATTAAAAACGCATTTTCTGTGGATCAACACCATAACAACAACACGAAAAACAGTTTGCATTTTGTTTACACAGGATGTTTGTATTTATTGCAATAAATCTTGACATAATACAAATGATTTGTGTTCGTTCACTGTTGGTAACCCAAAAAAAAAAACCCCATTAAAGAAACACTCATCCAAGAAGCTCTGAATTATAGATACCCTTTTGTTGATGTTGTTGATGTAAGCACATCAGTTTGACCAAACCAAATATATTACACATCATAAAAGAAGACAGTGTTAGAATAATGAGAAGTTATTGTTTTCTGATACTCGTGGCTGTTTGTTTCAGTCCTCTCTTAGATAAGCCTCAGGCACCTCTTCCTCCTCATTATTCTCTAAGGAGGCGGCATACTGTGCCATCCTTTGAACCTCCATTACTTTAGTCTCGGCTAA